ATGGCAAACTTGACTTTTAATAAGGAATGAAATGTCCCCGTAAATATTACCATTTTTTTTGCTAAGACAATGGGATATAGTGCTTTCGAAGGAAAAGTATTACAATTTAAAATATAAAAACATCTCTTTCGATTAGTGAAATTTGTAATATGATCTAAAGATCAAAACGAATAATTCAAAAAAAAAAAATATTGTAAATAGATTTATTTTATTAAAAATTATAATTGGTTAATTGGACACTGGTTTGCAACGAACTTTTTCTCAAAATAATTTGTGATAAATAGGTTTTTAGCGAGTAATAGGGAGTAAGCAAGGTGATGTTTCCCAGCGTCTGAGTTTTATTTTTACCTGTACATCTTCTTCCTTGTACACTTTATCTTAATGATTTCCTTCTTATTTTTCTTCCTCTTTACTAGTGTTGAAACCGCTTACACGATTACAGCCGAGTTAACAACACCATATCACCATTTCTTCTTCTCTTCAACACCTGATCGTTCGAATGGAGTGGAAGCATTCCACTTTCTTCGCTTCCACCGGCAGGTAATGCATTGAAAATATTCAAAGTGGAAGTTTTATCATCCATTTGTGCTGGCTGACCAAGCCACGGTAGCGGCTGTCTCTTGATTCGACAAACTGCGTCAATGTCACCGTATATTTTGTACAGCTCATCTTTAAATTAGTATCTTGTGGAGTTTGGTCTTCGTTCGTCGAGAGAGGACTTTACTTTTCAATTGTCTACTCAGTCCAAAGTTCTACCTGCTGATAAGAGTGATTCTGGGTTGAATTTCGAGGCTGATATCGTTATAAGTGTTAATGCTGGCTCCCTGAAATTATCTACGACTTCATAGTCTGTTTACACAGCCGTATAAGTTTTGCAGGCATCCCAAATTCAGATATAGCGGCATAGGCAGATCACTTTTAAGTTCCAATCGTCTATATTCTGCATGCACCTTGGCTGTTTTTTTTTTTTGTAAAAGCGTCTTGCTTCCCTCTTCTAGGTATTTATCCCAAACCCGCAGGTGTTGTGGTTAACCGCAAGTTGGCGAGGCAGGAATTTTGTTTCGTCGTGGAGGCTAAATTTTCCGATAATTGTGCTTGAAGTCATCAAACAGAATTTTGACATCATGGCGGGGACAGCACTCATAAATATGTAGTATATTTTACCATAACCCATCTTCTTCTATCGCTGCCGCGTGCATCGCATTTTTGCACGGAGTTGGTGTTAGCCTTTTGTCGTGCGAGGACATTAGCTGAGCAACGTCACTTTCCCAATTAAGGTACTGGACATCGTCAAAAGGGGGCTCTCACCCGAGACCTTTTTTTGATTTTCCGTTGAAGCTGGTTTCTATGTAGCGAGTCCCAAGCCTAGCGCACAAGCTAACTACTTGAGTACTTTGCATTTTACTACAGACCAATAGTACCTCTTTTTACTTTAACTAAGCACATTAAGCATTTTTAAGTACCCTCTTCTAACCCAATTTTTTTATTTTTGTATTGGATTCTGTTGTTGTTGTTGTAGTGGTTCGCTAGCCTCGCTTAGTGACAAGTTTAATCAATCTAAGTCGCGGAAACGTGCTATTTCGACGGGATTGGACCAGAACAAGAGGGGGGTGAAATGTATCGGCTTAACAGGGGCATGTGAAGAGGTGGTTAGTTTACATTGCATCCCTCGGTAGACAAAGCAAAACGACGTGTGACCCGCCGTATGCGCAAACTGCCAAACACCAGCGCGGTGCTTGATTTCTCCAGGGAGGAGGTTCAGGGGGTCATCGGGAAGGCGAAAGCCTCCAAATCCATCGGCCCTGACGGAATAAGCATGCTGATGCTGAAACATCTTGGACCAGCGGGAGCAGAATTTCTCGCGAGCGTCCTCAATCTGTCCTTGACCACCCTAAAGATACCCGACGTGTGGAAAATGGGTAGGGTGGTCCCGCTACTAAAACCGGGGAAACCAGCCAACAAAGGAGAGTCTTATCGGCCGATAACTCTCCTCTCCCCAGTAGCGAAGACGCTTGAGGCCTTACTGCTCCCGACCTTTACTCACCATCTGCGTCCAGCAGCGCATCAGCATGGCTTCCGACAAGTGCACAGCACCACAACAGCACTTAACGCCATAAACACCCAGATAGTCCATGGCCTCAACCAAAACCGACCCTGCGCGCGAACTGTCCTAGTAGCACTGGACCTGTCAAAAGCCTTTGACACAGTAAATCATTCAGTGCTACTAACGGACATTGAGGAATCCTCATTACCGCCGGGGTTGCAGAGGTGGGTCATGGGCTACCTGAGTGGTCGACAATCATCGGTAATATTCCGAGGAAAAACATCTAAACCCAGAAAAATTAAACAGGGGGTTCCGCAGGGTNTGGATATTGTAGTAGGTTAAACTCCTACCTATCCAGACTAGACCCCAGCATACCTAACGTATGCCCGGCATGTGGAGAGTCCCCGCACGACACTAACCACCTCTTCACATGCCCCCTCAAACCTACTCATCTAACCCCCCTCTCCCTTTGGTCCAACCCCGTCGAAACAGCTCGTTTTCTGGGCCTACCATTAGATGACCTCGGCGACTTAGACTGATTAAACCCGTGCCTAAGCGGGGTTAGCGAACCGCTACAACGACAACAACAAGAGGTGGTTAGTGTCGTGCAGAGACTCTCTGCATGCAGGCCATACTATATATGAATATGAGTTAACGTTGTTCATTGATTTATTTCTCCTTCTATAAATTTTCAGCTAAGTAAATAAAAATGCCATTTTTTTACTTGTATAAAAAATTATATTTACAAAAAAACATATATGTATGTATGTAAATATATAAAATAATTTTGTTTATTGTACAGAGTTTCCTGAAAATAGCTGCAAAATGGCTGCTTTGCAGTTATTTTCATTGTTTGTCCTTTTTTTTAACACAATTTTAATAGAAAATACCAAAAAGTATTTTCCGTTTTCAAAAAAATAAATAAATGTATATAAATAATTAAAATTAATTAATTTAATTAAGAAATATTGTTACTGCTGAATTCAAACTGCAATACATGCATTGCATGAAAAAATATATAATTAATTACAATTTCTTTGCATAGAAATGGCGTGTGATGATATATAAAATTAATAGTTTTATTAAATAACACTTTTTTTAACTTTGAATAATTTGCCACTGTGTGTAAGCTACTTCAAATTTCTCTTAATATTTTTTTTTAAAAAGCATTTGTTACCATTGCTCAAATACAACTTATTATTGTTTGATTTCTATATATGTTTTTCTTTTGTAGCTAACAATGATATTGCATATAATTATTTTTGCTATTATTTTTAATTATTTTTAGTTTGTATGCTTGTGTTTTTATGTTATTGTACAATTACAAAATTACTATATGTTTACTTACAACAATAAACATTAGTAGTATACATACAAATGTATAAGCATGTAAATTTAACGGTATTTTGCTTACTATTTTTTATTACGTATTTTATTTTACACATACAATTATTATAAAAAAGTGTTTTCTATAAAATTTTATATATTGGAAAATAGCATTCAACTAGGCATATAAGTAAGTGTGTGTATGTATTGTAAATGCTGCAGTACAACAAGTTGAAAAAAAAACATTTTCCCAATTATGTCGTTTTTACAAAATAGCTTATGAAATTTTGTCTAATTTCTCAATTTTTTTCGTGACAAAAATTATTATGCTTAATTACCGTAAAATGGTTTGTTTTAAGTGCTAGAACTTCATAAAGCTTGGTTAGCGATATTTTTGTTTCTGTTTTCTGTTAACAATTTTTGGTTTTTTTTCTTATAATTTTTATATTTATTTATTTTTATTTAATTCTTTTACTTTTTTTTATTAAAATGGAAATTATTTGGCAAATAATTTTTTATACATGTAACTATTTTTACCATAATTACTGTCATACACTTGGAAAATTTAGCAAATGGCTGTTTTTGCTAAATTTTCCTTCAACAAAAATTCACATCCTTCTCATCTTTTACTGTACAATGTTCCTTAATTTGGACAACAACAAATTGCATTACACTTAAATTCATTTTGTTAGCATTTTTGAATTATACATAGATATGCATTTTTGTGTGTATTTTTCTGCTGCTATTTCTTGTGCATAAACTATATATTATATAATATATACATATGTATTGTATATATGTATGTATCTATTATTTATATGCATTTATACCAACCACTCGCTGGCAAATGAAAATTTAAGCGGCTTGCAACTGCTGAGTATCACTGCATAATTATTGTCCTCAGCAATTTCGTGAGTCGTATTTAATTTACAAAGATTTTGTGCATTTTGCATACTACTAATAACATTTCTACAATTAATATTAGCATTAACATTAGCATTAGCATTAGCATTAACATAGGCATTACTAGAAATAACATTACCACTACTAACATTACTGCTTTTATCATCCAAATCATTGGCATATTTATAACTTAAACTATTAATATCAATATTCTGGTTTGGTTTGTTTTTTCCTTCATACAAATCCGCAATATTCACCTCTTCATAGATGCCGCTACTTCGTTCCTCAAGTGTTGCTTCGTTACCACACAGATTTTCCCCCTGCTTAGGCGGCCGAAAGGTCCACGCCAATTGCGGTACATTGCTTACAACTTCGATTTCCCTTAGGTCTGAATTACTTTTGCCTTCATCTTCGGTGTCAGCAATGCTTTTTGGCGATATTTCACATATATAACCATAATTATTTGTATAGTTTGCATAATAACTATTTAAATCAATTATATTATTTGTTGTTTGATAAGTTGTGTTTGTTTTATTTGTTGTTGTTATTGTTGTTGCTACAGTTGTTGGCGAATAACTCCATCCCACATAATTTAAACGTTCGAAGCTACATTTATTCATATGATTAATTTCTAAAAAAGTTTCATTAAATTTATGCTCCTCCTTCAAATCCAACTTCATGCCATCCAAATGTTGCTTACTTAAAGCAACATTAAATTTTGGATTTTTTTCATCTTTCCCTAAATCATGTCACACTGTAGTGCCCTGTTGCCCAGGCAGTACAGAACCACACTGTGGCGGCACTTTGAATGCGTCACGGTAGCGCGTACGACAGTCACCTTTGGACGCAAATACGAATTTATAGATGATGTACATCGGTATGCAGAGTACCGAGGAACAGGTGACAGCCCAGCCGACTTTAATACTCCATTCGGGATATTGATATTCCTCGCCCAACATTTCCTCATAGCCGAGTATGGAGAAGATGAAGATGGCCTGTAAGTGTACGTTTCATGGTTAGTTGGCGTTCGCCGAGAGTAGATGCTTTGACTTACCAATAAAAATACTGGGCTTATATATGTCCAACATATGCGCCAGAAAATGCCTGGCTTAATGCCCAGCATTTGCTCGACATCTTCGGAGAAACGGTCGACGCCATAGAACCAGAAAACTCCTGCCGCTTCCACGAATACTACAAACAATATCGCCAGGCCAGGTCCATAGACATTCAGGAAGTTAACTAAGAAAACACCGCCCTGAAAAGAGATATTTATTATTTTTTTTTTTGAATAAAATTTGAAAATCTTGAATTATAATTTAATTAGAAACTATTAGCATAATACATGAGGCTTTGAGAAAAAATTAAACAGTCTTGAATGAAACGGGAATTTTGTAATTGTAGGATCACAATAGCCAGGTGTTTAGCACTCCATCCGACATCCAAAAATTATAGAAAATTACGTTTTCTAATCGCGATCGTATCTCGACAGGTAATATCAAGACCTCTGAGTTTTTTGAAATAAAAACTGTGAGTTCATCCCTTCACTCGTTGGGAAAACAGCAAGATACACCCCACAAAGAGCTCGAACGGAGATCACATGGTGCCTTTTAGATATGGATATTTGAACAAAAACCACGATCCTAACGAATAGATCTGTACCGAATTTTATATAAATCAAACGATAAATACGAATTTTTTGAATAGATCGGTTCGAGGTCCACTTCCTAATAGAAAAAGTGATCCCCATGTAAGTCTTTACAAAGACCTACATCGGCACCAAATTTTACGTAAATCGACCGATTTAAAAATAAACTAAATTTTTTCAAACAGACTGGCTGCAGGTCTCATTCATGGGAAATCCGTTGTTATCGGATGCTTATGCCATACGAAGAATAAACCCTCTGAGTTTCAAGTCTCTACAATCAGTCAGTCATTCAGGCCAAATCTTCTCATAAATATACATAGATAAAGTTGAGCATTGTCATGCTCTATGGTCCTTAGGGATTTTGTTTTAGTAGCTCATACTGTTCGAGCTGCATTATATTAGGTTACGGAACATCTATTACATGGGCTGACATTGAAAGCAAGGACTCAACAAATTCTAATTCTTATCCACCACCCGTAATTGAAAACCAACAGAACAGTGGCCGAAATACAGCACCAGACCGGACTATCTCGAACTCGAAACCAATCGCGAAAGGTTACGCCTACACTTCTTTAAATGAACGGAAAAGAAAATACCTCTTATAAACTGTATTAAAAATAAAACCTTGAGCTTCTGGCTACGGCTATGTAACATAGATTAGGTTGAACTGGCTGAGCTATTGTATCTCACATAGACTATAATACATCCATAGTATTGCCAGACGCGCTATGTGCGGCCAAGCTGCACTGCTACACTCCTATTGTATGTCTAGAGAAGGAGAACTTTGCTGGTCTTTTCGCAGATTAAAGTAGTCGTTTTGCCCACTTAGCTATTGTCGATTGAAGATCCTATAGCCTTTCTGTGCTAAGTAAGCATGGCCTTGTTCTGCCAAATACTGGACGCTCACAGACTACGTGCTCCACTGTTACACATTCCTTACATTTCCTGCACATGTTGACCCCAGTCAGAACTATATTAAGAGCATGCAACCCCAGAGGGCAATGCCACTCTCCCCGAAGTTCGGCCTCTTTACAGATAGTAAAAACTTTGTAAGTTTAGTAGCCAGTTCGTCTGATATCTCGTGGCCTTGCATCCAGTAAATGTAAACTCTTCTATTTTCAGGCAGTACTTGAATCTCATCTTTACTTATTGCAACCATAGCTGACTTCGCGCTGTATGAAATCAAGACCTGCTGTCAATTCGCGGTTTGGAAGGTACTCCAGTAGTTTGTTAGCTTATATATAGATACATATATTATAGACTTTCTTAGCTCTAGTTGGTCGCAGTATACGGACGCCGCCACTCCAAAGTTTTCGAGAGTTGGCAACGCCGAAGACCACAACCGATGGTACGATGAGCTGTACGAGAGAGAAATAGCGGATGCGCTGGCTTGGTAATGGGGTTCGGATGGATGACAAAAACTTAAGCCGGTGGAAATAGAGGCAGAGGAAGACCTCCACTGCGTTGGAAAAAACAGGTAGAGGCAGGACCTGACTGCACTTGTACTACAAGCGAAAAGAAGTAATTAATGGCGTAATATGGTTAACTCGGCAATAAATGCGTAAGCGTTATTTACACCAGCCGCGGCCGCGGTAACCGAATGGTTGGTACTACGTAGAGCCATTCGGAAGGCCAGGATTCAAATCCTGATACAACCAACATCCAAAAGTTGTAGGAAATTAATTTAAATATAAAATTAAGTTAAAAGTTCTAAACTCGCCGCTCGGCAGGGAATGTCGATCCCTACGAGTGTATTTCTGACATGAAATAAAGGCTCCTCATAAAAAACTGTTGGTCCCTGTATTTGTTGGAAAAATATCAAGACTTTAAAACCACAAATCGGAGGTGGAGCTCGGCCGAAAAGCGCATCAGCGGTTACAAAGCGCCAGTTATATAAAGAAGAAGAAGCAGTCTCTGACTGCCACGGGGCAGGGGTTCAAGAGTCGGGTCTTTATACCGACCCGGAAATTTATCCCATCAAAGACTGCCACTATCGCAGCATTCTCCAAAAATTATTTGGGGAATATTTTTGCTGCTACAACAACAACAATCATAGTCTTTTATGAACTTAATGGTACCTTAGGTACTTACATACAAATATTTCTGTGATAAAATTATTTAAGAGCTACAATTTGGACGGTTCGGAGAAGCTTTAGCTAGGGAACCTTGTATCAACTCAAGTTCAGATCGGATTCCGAAGATCTTGAGAAGTTTCCTAGTCAATCTCAGAGAGGTAAGACTTGTTTCATTATTAATCGAAATAATTAATCCCGTGGTGGTCGGTACTTCATTTACATTAAGATCTTTCAGAAGAATTTAATCACCTTTAGTATCTAAAAGAGTCATAAGATGTATATGTGTCTGTATGTCTGTTTTTTTCAGTAGCACCAAAGTGCATATTCACACCAGCTTATGCAAGAAATTATAATTTCTAATGTAATCAAAGAGAGTGATAACGCCCATTATCTCATCTCTGCAATCCAGCCGTTGGCTAAATATATTGTACACGAGTGGTCAGGGTACGTGGGCGCTTATGGAGACAAGTGGTAGCCAATATAAAGGTAACAATAAATAAAATCAACAATCACTGATGTTTACCGCTGCTGACAGGTGTTAAAAATGGCGCTAAAACTTGAGACGCTGACACCGGAAGGAGTTCAGAGAGAGGGAGAGGGAGAGGGAGAAAGGAAGTGCTTATGAGGTTGGCAACGAAGTAAACAAAAGCCAGCTGACGAACTCACACGTATTGTATACACAAATGAGGACAACACAATTGGCAGTACAAAGGAAGCTACTTAAGTTGGACATTGCGAATAACATTACCAAGGGGGAGTAACAAGCATAGCAATGTAGTCAGCCGCAGGGTGTGGAGCTACTGGTTACGTTTAGCAAAAGTGCAAAAAGAACCATGAGAGAACGATGAGAGGTTAAAAGTGTCTATTCGTAATGGTGGTGGTAGGTGGTGGTGGAGCGGATGTGAGATTTATTTATGCAGGTCAAGATAGAGTTAATGCACTGCGAATAAGCATAAAGCAATATTTTATGCGCCAGAAAAAGGTAAAAAAAAAAAAAAAAAAAAATAAAAAAACCGTTACTTAGATAAATAAACACAATAAAGCGGCTGTTGAGTGGTACATTTAGCGGTGAGTCAAGAAACAATTTCGACTGATTGACTTGCAAGATAAATGAATAAATGAATATATGTATTAGTATTAGATAGGTAAATAGGTTAAGGATTAAGTGAGGATTGAGTGGTGCCGTGGTATCGTGTAAATGAATTTACGTCTAATTAATTAATGCATTTCTGTGGTTTCGTAATATTAATATAATATATATGTAGCTACACACATATGAACATTAATTTTACTTACATAAGTCATGGTAGGCAATGCGCACAGGTAGATACAAGCCAAGAGCAAGAGAACAAATAATTCTCTACGCCTTCCAATTGCGCGTGGATATTCATCACAGAGTGCCGTTATCATTGCTTCCAAACCGCCAAATGTACTATCCAAACCCAATGTGATGAGCATAAGAAAGAATATGATTGACCAAAATACCGATCCACTCATCGTAGCTATGGCTTCGGGATAGACAATGAATACCAAACCCGGTCCTTCCAGACCCACCTTATCGATGGAGGTCTTCTGTACGTGTGCCATGTAGCTGTTAATTGAAAGAAGAATCAAGTTATGTGTTAAGTTTAAAATAATGAAGAGAAATGTATGAGGGGATTATCAGAAGTTCGGTCAGTTGGTGACTTTCAATTTGTTTTTGTTAAATCTAAAAATACCAAATCCTTTGCAATTACTGTATCAGTTTTCCTTTCAAAATTTAGAACGATCGGATAAAATGGAGATGAGAAAACGCAAGATAGTTGAGGATGGGTCAGACGAAATTCCACCACCAATGATTCTCTTCGGCCTTCGGCGTAATTTACAGCCAATACAAATATTCAATGAATGCCAAATTGCATATGGAAAGATTGCACCGCCTTTAAAGACTGTTACTAAGTGGTTCAGAAGATTCCAAACCAGACATTTTTCCGTAGAGAACGAGCACCCAGAAGGTCCACTGATGACGTCACTGCAGCTCTGGTGAAGCCGAAAATTGACGAAGGCCCACGATTGATATAATAAATGATTACTAATGATCTGGGCCATTGCTGTTTCGCGATTATTAAGTCACAATCTAGAGTACACGAAGAAATCTGCTCGGTGGATACCACGAATTTTAAATGAGGCCCAAAAAGAGGCTCGAGTGCATTTTGCCCAATTTTTCCTAAACAAATTCGAAAATGGTCAGTCTAGCAACTTTAGTAAAGTCATTACTGGTGGCCAATATTCGTTCTATAAGTACGATCCAGAAACCAAACAGCAGTCCTTGTTATGGAGCCTAGCAGGAGCAAACCCACCCATAAAATCTAAGTAACAAAAATTATCAGCAAAAGTAATGATGCCGGTTTAATTTGACCAATCTAAAATCGTAGGATCGAAGAAATAAACTGCAAACTGCGCCATTTACTTTGCTTTCATTCATTCAGAAGACTTGGCAAGCCCAGGGTAACTGCTGTCTCTTCATTCGCTGAACTATCTCGGAACTATAGAGAATAACTCGTACAGCTCAGTTATGATTGCCAATAGTGACATTAGAGTCAAGTCGTAAGTGCGCCGACCGTTTGTTTGATGACAGGAGATATTTCGTCATGTTCTCGTTGACTACCAGATCCATTTGCTTTGTTCTCTTCTAAAAGAATGAATCACCGCGGAAATCGGTCAAATGATTTTGGACGATCGGAGAATAACAGTGCGTGATGTGACTGAGACTATGGGCATATCAACTAAGTGGATACATCACATTTAATCCAAACCAGTTTTTCCGCGGCTGCGTTAGCTTAAAAGAAACATGGATCCACCACATTACACCAGAGACCAAAGGACAATCAAGATAATGAGTTTCTCCGGGTGAACGTGCTGTTCCACCAGGACAATGCATGTGCGCACACGTGTGTAGTCACTATGACCAAAATTCGTAAATTAGACTACCAACTGTTAACTGTCATTGAGCATATTCTCCAGATTTAGTAAACTGGCACTATATCATGTTTCGAAACCTGAAGAAATGGCTGAGCGGGAGAAAATTCGCCTGCTCTCACCGAGATTTGCCAAAAATTAAGCTCGAACTCTATCAGATCTTGCACTAAATTGACCACTGTGCAGAAAAAACGGTCAAGAACCACAATTTGGCGTACCACCTCACCACTACAAGCATTTGAAGTTATTAAAGCAGATGAAAGGACTTCACCTTTGGTCATGACACAAGGAAGCGGGTCTACGATTTGGAGAAGAACACATATGTACACACAAATTGGAGGAGGACGTTCAAAAGCCATACTCGAATTGCAGCTTAAAATTTCTCAAATGAAGGGCAGATACTCCTTTGAAGTGATGGAGACAATTCTTACTTTTAATGAGGTTTACAGTTAGGTGTCATTTACCAACAGAAAAATGCCTGCTTAGATAATTAGTGTGTCCTGTCCAACCCAAACCAGAGGAAACCATTGATGCGAAACGTTATCGACTACAACTAATGCGTTTGAGCCGTGAATTGCGCCTAAAACGATGATTTTGCAATATAACAACGCTCGGCCTCACGTGGTTGTAACGGTTAAAAAGTACCTGGAAACCTTGAAATTGGAGCTCTTACTTCATTCTCTGTATTCTCCAGACATTGCTTCTACCAACTACTTACTTTTTCGACGGATACAAAAGCATCCGTCTCGGGTCTTTTGAAGAAGTCGAGGAATGGAGAGAATGGTATTCGAAAATTGATAGAGAAAAGGGAGAATATAATCACTACCGACGGAAAATACTTTTAATGCTGTTTTTTTTCAAGAAAAACACTTTTTAGAAGCTTTTCAAGTCATTGTTTTGTTGAATTGTTTTTCGCTTTAAGTTTTATGGAACTGTCTCAGATCATAAATTTTTTGAAAATAGTGAAAAAAAAAATTTTTAGCACTTGGTCGTGGAATACCTACGTTACCAAAGGAAAAAGTAAAAAACAACAATAGGGAAAGCGGAACGGCACATATCTAGCTTAGTGGGACAGCCATTGGTTCGTGATGTGGGCATCCCAAGTTCGAATTCGAATTCGAACAAAGGTGTCTGGAAAAAAAGTCTGATGAGGAAACGTGGTCGTGTCCGAAATAGCAGCTATAACTTCTTCCAAAATATTGCTGTAAATTTTCGACTATATTTCCAAGAAATATATGGTTGAGACATACGACTTGAAACCAAAAACACTTTTTTTTTAATAAAAAAACGAACTGAATTCAATTTCTGCACCCAATATATTTTTGATAATTTGTCATTTTTCACTTTTTCGAGGCATTTTTACTCTTCATAAAATTGTTTTGGAACAAGAATTAACCCAACCCAACCAAGATAGAGTCTGTTCATAGTGAAGTGTTTCAACGTAGGAACAACCAACGAATTACCAGATGAACAAGTTCGGTCTGAATACTCCGAATTTCTTTGTCTATAACCTCTAACCTCAAACAAACAAATTAGTTACAAAAACGACATATTTCATAATAATAATTTTTTAAACAGTTTTATTATTCATTTCACTTACCCCAATACCGAAAATATGACGAAACCCGCTAGAAAACTAGTCAAACAATTAATACTACTCGTAATCAGCGCATCTCTGTAACAATTATTATTGAATTTATTGTAACTGGATAGTGCCAGCAAGGTACCAAAACCCGGACCAAGTGAGAAGAATATTTGCGAGGCAGCATCAATCCAAACCTATTTGTGAGAACATAGGCTTAGGACTTTAGCTTTAAAGCATACAATAAAAACTTTTTATTTTGCCAAATTACCTTTGAATTTTTCAATTTATGCCATTCTGGCGTTAAATAATACCGAATACCCTCCATGGCACCCGGTAGCGATACGCCGCGTATCAGTAAAATGAAGAGTACCACATATGGCGCCAACGCCGTGACCCAAACCACTTTGCCCGCACTGCGTACACCTTTCCAGAGCGAAAAGTAGACCAAAATAAATACGCCGAAAACACACAGGGCTAAAGTTGGCTTAATTGGACCCATATAATCGAGACCATCCGATTTGTATTGCTCTAGAACCATGCGTCTGTAAGTGAGTTAATAAAAATAGGAATATGATTTTATTTTTTATTTTTAAATCAATTTGAATTCACTATGAAATTCTATTTTTTTTTCCAAGTCACTCACTCGAAAAACTCTTTCGCCGGCGTTGTTGCTTTTTCGGTGAAATTCTCATTCGTTACTGGCATACAACTGTTGGTGTTCCACGAATTGCCACACGACGTCCACGGCAGTGTCGATGTGAACGATGCGAACAAGTAGTAAACTGCCCAACCGATTATCGTGTTGTAGTACATACCCATATAAACGTCAATTAGGCAAATGGCATAACCGACACCTGTGTGGATAAAATCGAATTGTACTAGGATATAAATACTAAAATATAATATATAAATATTTTTGCTATAATTTAAACATTATATGACATTAGAATGGATTTGATGTCATGATGAGCTCTGGGTTGTCGCTGAAATAGGTGCTCTGGTTGCCGGAGTCTATATAAATTATACGGAAGAATATGGAAGTTTTAGAGAGAGAGAGGCAGAGAAAAAGAGAGAGTAGGAGTGAGAGGTAGAGAGAGAGGGGAAGGGGAGAGAGAGAGGGAGAGAGAGGGAGAGAGAGAGGGAGAGAGAGAGAGGGAGAGAGAGGGAGAGAGAGAGAGGGAGAGAGAAAAAGAGGGAGGGAGAGAAAAAAAGAAAAAGGGAGAGAGCGAGAGAGGGAACGTCTAAATAATCCTTCCCGGAGCAAAGTAGGGAGAGTACATTCTGTAAGAACCACCCCATATGTATATTATATTTTAGGTGTGAAACTCTGAACTTTCAATACAATATCAGCAAAGCTGCCTACTCTTTCTCTTCCAGAAGAAGAATCGTAAAATCATTCGTACTTTTATGGTCAATTTATGCGAATGAAACGTCGATACCTTTTTAACATTCAGTATATTTTATATTTATAAGTGTATCCAAAACCGACGAGAAGTGAACTTTATAAGATATACAAAATTATATTTGTACTTCACAGAACAAAGAATTTAAATATAATTCGAACGAAAACTCCGTGTAATATTATATGAAGAATAATCTAGATATCATGTTTCTTCAGCTTAGTTATCTGAATGGAGTTGCAAGATTCTTTCATTGGTGCTAGACATTTCTAGTGGATACATATTTTTATCCCTAAACCAAATATGCACCTAGTACGGCAAAGAGTTTGGATATCAGCCCAGAGCGAACGGTATCGGTAAACCTACCGGATGAATAGCGGCAAAATGGCATATAGCCCATGCTCGGTCTTAATAACCGGACCATAGTTTTGCTATCTCCAGACTGGAAAGGCGATTGGGTCTGGCAGAGAACAAGGGCAGCACAAAATTTCTTTTGTCATCAAATAAACACTTTGCAACCATGTGAAAGTCATAACTTTGTAGTCGTAGATAATTCCGTCTGATGAATAGGTAACAAAAATTTAGGAGGGAAGTGTTTTGCCATAAATTTTTGGTTCTTTGAATTAAGAGATATCGCTTCCCCAGATCGACCATGTAGTCCGAAAACATGAAAGCGCTCCAGCTTTGAAAGATTTTTATGCAATATCTACTAGTGGAGACAGAGGCATAGGTACAGTAAGACCCCGCTTGTTTTATTTGAGTTTTCCTATTGGCACCAAATAGCGCAAAGAAGAAGCCATACCTACGACAATGAAGTATAAGAAGAAGATATACCCGATGGCGCAGTATTTTCGGTTTGCGCGCGGATAAGCCAAGCAATTTTCATATACCAGGTTTTTAAAATAAAACTACTCGTTTTTCCGACCAAGAAGATCTATTGTGAATAAGATGGCATTGGTTTAGGCCAACTCTTGTGCGAGAAACCCCATGAGGAAGAGAATCCCTTGAAGATATCCTGAAGTTGGCAAAATGCAAAAGGTTGGAAAAATTTTTCTCGATGATTTTCGATTAAAGAAGGAACAACTCGTATAAATTGCTGGTGAATGCGACCTTAACGCCTGCATGATCATCTTGGCATGGCTAAGGTCAGTCCAAGTTGAGCGTCAAAGCAAAAGCGCCGCCACAAAAGCAACACTGCGTATAACTTTCATCGTGGTCCTCTTTAATGAAGAAAAGGATGGAGTTGAATTTTTACTAAAGATAATACTTGGGCTCATCAAAATAAACCTGAGCCGAAATATGACCCCAGTAATGGCATAAGAACTTCTAAGAAGTTTAAGGTGTCGCAGTCAGCTTGAAAATGGCAACGGTCTTTGGGACTCGGAAGGAATATTATTGACCTTGATTTTTGGTTAAAAATGTGAACTCGTTTATATTTTCATAAATTTTGTATCGGGAGCGCCCTTCAACCAAAAACCTTCTTTCCAAGTAGTAACCCCAAATTAAAGACAAAATTCAAAAATGAAAGATTTGAGCTAAGGAATAAAGATACCAGTCTTTTGAATATCATACATCAGCTCCGTATATATAAAGGCTTTTTCCTATTCAATTTCTGCTTGGTAAAAAAAAAATTAAACTATCGAACTCCTCTCCAAATAAGGACACTCACTACTTACTCACCGCCATTACTATCGCAATAACTAAAGTGCCTCATACATACTTGTATGTACTCGTAGGTTTGTTTGTCTGAATTCCCTTTCTACTATCTCTTAACCCGGCTCAACGTAATGGTCTCTTTTGTGTTTTCAAGTCTACTATTTTATGCTCATTCGTTTCCTTTCAATCACTTTCTTTCTACTCGCACTTTGACTACACTCGCAGTATACAGAGTTGATTTAATAAAAGTTGACTAAACAAACACTTGTTGAGCAAATACCACAAAGCAGTGTCAACGGGGATTTCCTCGCAACCACTTGTACGAGTTACTTTGTGAATGTGTGTGGAGAATGAGTTTGTGAATAGGAAAGTAGGATGGAGGAGAGTACGGCGTAAAGTGATAAAGCATTTATTTGTCTGAAGTGCATTTCGTGATTGTTGTGCTCGAAGAAAGTCGATTGAAATGGGAACTCTTTTTTCTTCAGCGTGAAAGTTAAATGTCTTCAGGTGTATATAATACGAGTATATTCGTACTACAATATGAATTTATATGACTGCAGTTTTACTATAGAAACAAAAGCTGCTTCTTTTTGGACGAACCAGAATCAGCCTTGAAAACATAGCACTTCTTTATAATGCACAGCTTGCATGACGAATAAAGATAAGTTTATAGATTCCAAGCTAAAAACTCAAGTATAGCTCATGATACTTGAGTTGAATTAAGTTGATGTGGTTCCTGAACAGAGCGGCCAGCACCATTTGACACTGCTGCGATATACACTAAGACCAGAAAGTATCCGGAAATCGTCATTTAAACTGCCGGCTCTGAATATTTCTAAGCAGTTTTTTTGTTAAGTTGGTAGCACTGTCCTTAATTACTATGCCAAAAATGAGCGCGACCAGGCAACCAGTTTGTTAGCAGCAGCTGTTGAAATCAGTCGGGCTCAGCTCCCTCTGCGAAATTTGGTTTACGTCCACAATCGAGTCGAAACGGATTCCACGGAAACAAAAAAAGGTCACATTGGGCCAAATCCAGTCAAAAAGGATAGTTAATCGATGGTATTAAATGAGGTTTTGGTCTTAAATAATTCACAACTACAGCTCGGTGGCTCATGAGAAATCCATGAAGTGTTGGCCCACAATTCCAGCCGTTTACGTCGGATGTTTAGATGCAAACGCCTCAAAACGCCCGAATAATACTCTTTACGGCTGACTGCCCCATTGGAATGAATTCATGTTGAACCAAACCGCTATAATCGAAAAAACACACAATTTTCGGAACTGGTCTTAATATACTGCTAACCTTCTTAGATGTTCGAACCGTTCCTACGTCAGCCAAGCAATCGAAGAATTGATATGGTTTATGGTCGGCTGAAAGACAACATGATCATAAGCGGCAGCACCGAAGCCATAGAGTATACTACTCTTGTGCTCTCCCGGAATTATGTACTAGGCATTTATGTTGTAGAGAGTTTAGGGCTGGGCAATAGCAGAGTGTGTCCTCGTTAGACTGTTCTCTTCTCCGTCTCTCCAGCTTCTACAAAGCTCAACCAAAAAGTCTCTCATTTTCTTATAGCCCCGTTATTATACCAAATTGTTGTATTGATGTTAAGTTGATCTAGAATGCCTAAATACCTTGATCTTTCAACGTTCAACACGGTCCAAAGCTGTCTAGTCACGTTACAAGTACTTTTGTTAAGCCATCTGGCGTTGGCTGTTTAGGTGAATGTCAGATTAAATCTCAGTTTTGCTGTAGACAAGGGTGCGTCCGTGTGGTACCATATTCCGATAGCTCATCCGCCTTAAATGTCCCAATATCCGGTCAGACAGACCACGGCTATATTATACCTAGCCGGGAGCTTGTTTTAAGTGCTTCTGCACTTCAATCATTTGTGGGTAAGGGTAAGTAAATACCACAACCTACCCTTTTACGGATTTAGAACTATCCGTGAAGCATTTGTATATTCCCATTCATACTGTCTGGGATTTTTATGGAGCAGAGATTGTCAAAATAGTAAGTGAAGATAGTGTGGTCCAACTCGGTTTGAAATGCAAAGTCCTCTTTTGATATTTATTCATTTTGAAAATGGCTATTCTAAATTGAGAGAACTAACGGGCTTTCTAGTTGACCGATTCCCTTTACTTGTTTGACAGTATATTTAATAGTCGTTTAATAATGTTGAAGCGGTTTTCGGCGGAGCAGCTTAAAGTTAAAGTTAATTTGAGTTAATGAGGGCATTTAAGTCTGTCGGTCGGTTGCGACATCTATTTGGGGCATGTGAAAGAGCTTCCTCTCACCTTCCTAGATGTACGTACAAACCATTTAGTTTATTTTATAAAAAAAAGTAATAGGCCTTGAAACTTGCTGATGCTTCACTGTCTCCTCATCAATGCACCAATGCCCAGATCTGTCTGGTTACATTGTATGTGGATTTATTCTGCCATTTACTATTGGGCCTTATGGTGAAAACCGATCTTAGCAGGTATTTTGCGGTGGTATGACCACGTTATGTACAGAATTAACCGTGGTTAGGACTGATACCCTTCTTGCTAGCTCATTGCTTCGCAATTCCCTTGGATGTTTCTATTTCCAGAGACCCAAATCAAGGATGGCAATGTGCAAATCTAATGGCGGCTGCAGAAAACGTTTTTGGGATTATGACTGCGGCTATTGGTTGGCTGGTTGATTTCTTCGTAGAAATTTTGGTTGGCGTTAGTGCCCGCGCACCTTTGCCAACGCAAAGAGGACCATAAATCTTACGAAAAATCTATTCTCAAAAACGCCCAACGCTAACTCA